AAAATAAATGAAAAAAATCCCTAGTGCTTGAGATGTTTTTTTTCCTTAAAATTTTTCGCTCATGCTTCCAGGAAAACTGGAAATGCAATGGGTGGGCAAGAGTCGAAACGATCCTGGGCATAACGGTAGCCGAAAATAATATACAAATAAGCAAACATATGGTTCCGGTTCCGGTTTTACGTCACGGACTCCCTTATCAACCAAGGGCTAGGACGGTTGCCTTCTTGAGAAGGACTTGTTTTGGCAGATGTAATCCTTACGCTGAGTGCATGCCTTTGCTAACCTCAGACCATGACGGGGCGCGAACCCTTGACCTGACGCCTCAGAGTCGGAGACGCTACCGACTGAGCCACGGCGACTATTCAAATAAGCAAACATATGTGTAAATAAATCAACTGGACGTATTTAAAGTTCATAAATACACACACGAACAGTAGTCACCGTGGCTCAAGCGGTAGCGTCTGTGACTCTGAGGCGTCAGGTCGAGGGTTCGCCCCAGTCACGATCTGGGGTTAGCAAGGGCATGCACTCAGGGTAAGGATTACATCTGTCAAAACAAGTCCTTCGCAAGAAGGCAACCGTCTTAGCCCTTGGTAGAAAAGTGAGACCGTGACGTAAACCCGGAACGAAAATACACACACGAACATATAAAAAAATAATAAGTACATAAGAAAACAAATAAAAAACATACACAAATAAAAAAAATAAAAATAAATATATAAATAAAAAAATAAATGCATAGATGAATCAAGTTATGCCTCTGATACTGTAATAAAACCAGCTTGCTGTGTCACTATTGATCCCCATTCGAAAGGGGTGGACACATATATACACACAATAATCACCTTAACAAGCGACCAACCTTGAAAGAGAGAGAGAGAGAGAGAGAGAGAGAGAGAGAGAGAGAGAGAGAGAGAGAGAGAGAGAGAGAGAGAGAGAGAGAAAATAAATTATACTTACGCCAAATATTATTTACAAAGTAATTATATAATTCATAATCTATAGATCCAGTTCTTTTATAATTGCATTATAAGTAAATAAAAGGAGTTACAAAGAAAATTGCTGCCGAATTGAGATGTGCTCGGTATATCCTTGGAATTATTATTATTATTATTATTATTATTATTATTATTATTATTATTATTATTATTATTATTACCATCAACATCATCAATAATAATAATAATAATAATAATAATAATAATAATAATAATAATATTATTATTATTATTATTATTATTATTATTATCATTATTATTATTATTATTACTTGCTGAGGAACAGCATTGGAAATTCTATTTTAAAAATAAAATCCTCAACTACACTGCTCTCTTCAGAATATCAATTAAATGATATTAAATAACAACTGTAACTGGTAATGCTTAGAAATGCATTGAAATATAGATAAAACGGCAATTAATAAAACCGTGTTTCTATCTATCTATCTATCTATCTATCTATCTATATATATATACATATCTATATATATATATATATATATATATATATATATATATATATATATATTCATTAATTTATTTATTAGGTACTGGGGAGCACGACAGCTCAGTGGTTAAAGCACTCGACTCGGGAGGCGATAGACCCACTATCGAGCCCACCTAGGGCGTTAGGAAGGGCATCCAGCCTTAATTCCCTAGTTCCCTCTCTGTGTCCACCCCAATAAATTATATTGACATGTAAAACGGTAAAGAATAACATCTATGGCCGCTTTAACACCAAATGGCACGTCGCAAGTGGCTTGCCACGTAGCACACCAGTTGAAAACGAACATCCGGAAATGTATGAAACCTTTCACACAGAAGTGGCACATGAGACGTTTCACTCCACTTCTGTGTGAAAGGTTTCATATATTTCCGGATGTTCGTTTTTAACTGGTGTGCCACGTGGCATGACACGTGCGACATGCCACTTTGGTGTGAAAGGGGCTTATATCTTTCACTGAGCAGCATTTGAAGACATTCGTAAGAAAAGTAAATATAAACCAATACAATATAAGAAAAAAATATACATTAGGATTCGGTTTTACGTCACGAACTCCCTTTTCTACTAAGGGCTAGGACGGCTGCCTTCTTACGAAGGACTTGTTTTGGCAGATGTAATCGTTACCCTGAGTGTTGTTAAAGATAAAATGCCATTTACGAGATAAACATATTCAGTATAAATATCCTTATTTACATAAACACAAACTATTTTATATGTATATACATAAAAAAAAAATTTGCTACGTATTCTAAATATATATGATTCTTGTGTTGAAAAACACGTTATCTTAATAAGATCTGGCGATTGGAATTATTGGGTGACCTTCAATCGTATTATGCTTCAGATATCACCAATGGGGCAAATGTGATTTACGAAGTTCGACGTGCACATTTAAGCAAACACACTATGATGATAATCCTAATAATAATAATAATAATAATAATAATAATAATAATAATAATAATAATAATAATAATAATAAAAGTAATAACAATTA